CACTTTCAAAGGTTTCCCCTTTTCCCTAAGGGAAACCATTTACCTCCCTAGCTTGAACTCCTGGCCCTTTATGAACTGGCCCTCACTGACCTCTGCAGTTCCATCTCTCTGCCCCTCTGCCCAACCACCTCCCCCCTTTTCCTTTTCTCCACCCCTAACCCCAATCCTAGGCTCTGGAAGTGCAGAACCAGTGTTCATCTCCCAAACCCAGTCTCCTCTCTTCACCCCTGGGACAGGGCATGCAATGTGCACCCCCCGAACTCATCCAGCACCCGCCTACAGTGAGGCCTCCTGCAGCTCCCAGGTCATAGCTGCATGTTTCCCAGTCCTTATTGCCTCCTAGACTGAAGAGCACAGACAGCCTGGCATGGAATATGTGCTTATGAAATATTTATTGATGAAAACAGGGTCTATAAATACTTATCAGCTCCAAGCAGAAAATATTAGTCTCGATTCCCGCAGGCTCCATCCCATCTCCCTTGCCCAAACTCGATGCATCTGCTAGTGCTTAGGTTTCTTTTTCTAGTGGCCTTGGGTGACCAGCAGCTCAGTGTTCTGTGAGCTACCAAGTGGCTTGAAGCTCATGGACAAGGTATCAACATCACAGTGAGGTGGGTTTGTGGCTCCCATTTAGTTAGCTGGGCTACTCCTTTGGCCACTTAAAATAATGTATTGCAGGTACCCGGGGACTGGTTTCCAGCCCAGCGTGGGCTGCTTTACGTCCTGCTATGGCAGTTAAACCCCTTGTTGATGCGCACACTCTGCATTAAGTTTTATGATTTCAATACCACCGTGCTTGGTACTCACCCTCCCTAATAAGTGACTGTCACTCTCCAGGGCCCTATTTTACCTGCTAGAATAGGCATCTTGACCGCAGACTTTCCCAGTTATCACCTTGAAAATGTACAGGCATTAACTTTTATGCTTTAAATCCAAAATAGACAATAAAATTAGGGAAGCAGGTTAGTGATAATCTACAGGGTTGCCTGCGGAGATGAGTCCTTCAGGGTCCTTGAGGGAATTTCTGAGGCTGTCCTGCCTCCCTGAGCAGAACTTTGTGTAGCGTTCAGAGATGGGATGTGCTGGGAAGGCGGGCACATGCCTAATGGGTAAAGATTGAAAATTTCCATTTGCTCAAAATCTTAGCATACAGCAAGCCAGGGATGGGCACTTAAGCAGGGGCTCCCAGGGGAACAGGTATAGTTCATTCCAGTCTGCTTCAGCAAACCCCAAGCAAGTTTTACTTGCAAACACCTTGGATCCTGAAGGGTTCAAGGCAGGTCAGAAGCATCTGGGTTTGCATGTGGCCATTAATCACTCACTTGACACTTTCTTCCCACTCAAAAGGGGCACAATAATTTCCATGCATCAGATACCCACTGTGTACTGGGTACCTGACTTAACATTAGCCATCATCCTCCCCACAGTCCAGAGAGGAAGACAAAGGCAAACCATCTCCAAATTCTACATTTAGGATTTAAGGTCCAAGGAGGTCAATGCCTTGACCAAGTACACAGCCAGGTAGGGAAGGAGGCAGGTTTTGAAGTCAGGTGATGTCTGTCTCCTTCCTTCCAAAGCCCACTCTCTCACATGATGCTGTGCAGCCTCTGTGAGGAACAGCTAGAGGAAGGGGAACTGCATACTGCTGGGCCTGGACTTGGGAGGAAGGAGTGGGAGCAGGCTGAGGTCCAGGAGCCTCCTCTGCATTTGACCCACCTGCACCTGCAGGGCAGCTCTGTACCAGGATCTCTGCAAGAACAGACAGCAGCCCTGTCTGCATGCCAGCTGCTGGGCCGGGTGAAATTAGGTGGGAAAGGGCCTAAAGATTCCACACCAGCAAATCACAACCTTGCAATTAAAAAAAGCTACATGGAAATGAAGTGTGAAGATACCCGTGACTTCTGATGTGCGTATAAGAAGGAACGATTCAGCCAGAAAACATCTGCTCTGCTCTTCCTTGGAATAAACACTCGGGCGGACACCTTGGGCTGGCATGTCACAGCACCCTGGGCTTCTCAGCTGTGTGTCCCAGGCAGCCCTCCCCTGAGGCAGAGGGCATTTGTGTTTGGCATGGTTCTCTCACACAGTGCATGGCTAGGGCACCAAGTCACCATACAGCCAGATCTGTCTGCACTCAGAAGGTGGCAGGAGAAAGGTGATTCTGTTCCATTACACCCAGGGCCTCCGAGACTTTTAATAGAAATGAAAGCCAGGATCATGACATGCTTGGAATACCATGTGGATTCTTTCTTGCCACATATGCTCACAGTAGTGAGAACAACAGCACTGTAAATATTTGTAGCGGAATCTCTGGTGTGTCTACAGAGTACAGGGATGGCAGGGAGTGTCCTGGAGATTTGGTTGGGCATTGTCTGATGTTGCAATTAAGATGCTCTGCCTTCCCGCCAGCCTCTGTGCTTAGAACTATGTTGCCACGAATACCTTGAAGTCTCTGGCACTGTGGCATTTTTTCCCCTGGGGCTAGGGCTGGCAAGGCAATCCTGTGCTTGGTGGCTGTCCACTGCTGCTACGTTTTCTGGAAGAAGGCAAGGGAGGCCACAGAGATAGCCTTGCATGCCTCCTTCTGTGTGTCTCATGGAACATGGAACACTCACCTAGTGATCTCAGAGAGACAGCTACATGTGGGGGTCATGGGAGGGAGGACAGGTGTGAGAATGGAGAAGAGCCCAGCTCTGGCTCCCGGGTGGAGGCTGCCCACACAGGGCTCATTTCCCTTGTTCCCACCTGGCCCACACTATCAGGCCACGTGACACCTAACACCCACCCGCCCTTGTGAATACCGGCTCCTTCAAATAAATGGGACCAGTGGTATGAAGCTGTGCCGGGGCAGGGTGAGGCTGTCACCCCATCTCTAATTGCCAGCACTGTAACCACGTGCTCAACGCCATTGTCACTGCTGATGGCACCTCCTCCAAGGGTGGGCTCTGCATTAGGTGATGGCTAGGCAAGCCCTTTCCAGGTGTCCTCTAGGTCAGCCTCAAGTTCTTTTTTTTAAAATTTATTTTTTGGTGATAGTTGGATACAACACCTTTATTTTATTTATTTATTTTTATGTGGTACTGCGGATTGAACCCTTACCTTACGTGCAAGGTAAGCGCTCTATGCCTGAGTCACAACCCCAGACTAGCCTTCAGTTCTTAAGCCCACATTTTCTTCCCATCACCCATGATCACTGCCACCGGCTTCCTGCCCGCCCAACTCCACTCCACTATTAAAGTCACGCTTCAAACTGACATTTTCTTCTTAATTTTTAATCAGTCTGTGTCAAGAAAAAACCAAGACCCGATCAAGCTTCCAGCCCTCACTGCTCTGTCGGCACAGCAATTTTATGGATCAGAGTTTTGTTTATATTTGTCTAAAACCCAGAGGAGGAAAGGAATCAACTCCACAAACCAACATATATTTGAAGAGACACTTTCGGAGTCAGGGCATTTTTTTTTGTTTGTTTGTTTGCTATATATCAATCAATCAGTTTCATAGGAACAACACCCAGTGGGCACTGTTGAGACCCCTGCAGCAGGACTGTAGGGATGGCAGGCAGGAGAGGCAGCTCGAGGCCCCAGAAGCAAGAGAGGAAGGCAGTCTTGGGGCTGGGAGGAGCCTCCTGATTCTGCAGGACAAAATAATGTGGAGAAATAAAGAATTCACTTTCTTTGGAGGAAGAATATGTTTACAGAAACAATTTCTGTTTTGGAAAATAAAAATATGTCTAAGTTTTGGAGTAAGGGCAACAACATAACAGTCACCCAGAAAGAAACTCATGACTCAGGTCAACTGTTGGATGGAGTCTTTTTAAAAGTCCCAAACCAAACATTACCTTAGTTACTTTCTCCACCATGAGATGTATTTGAACACATTCTGATCATACGTAAAGTCACGCGACTTAGCCAACACCAGGGACCCACGTGCCATACCACGAACACAAATACTGATGCTCCATCACCAAACGCTGATGCTTTGATGCTCCGTGGCACAGAGTACGAGAACTCCCCTCCTTGAAGAAATGGCCAGAAAGTAGAGTCTGCTTGTCTTTCCTTCCCTTTCTGATGGGGACCGCCACATCCTGCTCTGAGCAGAGCTTTCCCGGCTGAAGGAAGATGGTCCGAATGTCATCCGAGAGCCTTTCTGTTGGAAGTTGGTCCCTTACTGAGGGCACAGGGGAGGTGTGCTCCTCTTCTGGTAGCTCAACATGGACTTTCTGCAGAGGCTGACCCGTCCAGCTTTGGAGTCCAGCAACAGTTTGAAGCAGATTTGAGAAGCAAATTTACAAAATGTGACATGCTTTCAGAGGGGGCAGGGAGCACTCATAACAGAGGCCAACAGGATGTGTGATGCAGTGGGTGCGTATGGCACTGCCCCAGGTTCCGCAGGACTGAGCACACTCAACACCTCCTTCAGGACAGCACAGGGGTCTGCCCTCTGCGCTCCATTCCCCACTGGTCTTGTCAAATCCTCGAGTGTCTTTTAAAAGCACTGCCCCTGCAGTTTGTTAGCCTCACTGTTGAGTTCGAGATGTATGATGTGAATCTCCGTCCCCATGTAGATAGATTAGAAAATGTCCCTCATGCCCTCAAGCTCTGTCTGTCTGTGGCTTTCCCTCCAAGGCTGAAGATTCCTTTCCCCAAGGGGCAGTCGAAGTTTGAGGCGTTCACCCAGTTAGGGATCTTCTTCCATTAGAGGGATCTCTGTTAAAGAAGACACGCTTATGAGCTTAGGATAACTAAAAACACCATAGCAATTTGGAATTTTGACAATTCCAGAAATCAGTGAGGAGAAGAAAGATCAAATAAGCCAACTCTTTGGTATAACATCTATTTGCTGGAAAGCAATTGTGATCCTATTCCCAGTTCATTAAAAGAATAAAATAACGTGTTAGACTTTAGTGACAGATTCAAGTTCAGAAAGGCAGTGTGGTTTTCAGGAAAGGTACTCTGTGGGGACCCAAGAGGCCTCTGTTTCTGTGTTGCTAATACCATAAAATAGAATTCATAGTTGCAAAGTTGGGCTGGTGCTTTCCTCCCTTGGGAAACAGATCCCTAAATAATTGATACATTTTCCCTCCCTTTCCATGAGCTGTACTCCGCCCTTCCTCGCAACAGGTGCATGAGCACCTTTTATCTCACATGGGGTAAAAGTAACTTCTATATACACAGCACTTCTCTGGGGCTGGGACACTGTCAGGGCCCTGACATTTTCTCTTTGCCTGGGTGTGTTATCCTGTTCCTAAGCTCTGCTTTAAGAAGCCTTGCCGAATTAAGGGATAAAGAAGGAAAACATCCTGTATCACATACCTGCTACAAAACTAAAGCAGGGCCAATGTAGCCTTTCAACTCTGGATGGCATGGTGCCCTTTGCGTCTCCTAAAATTTCCATTAGTGGACCTATTATTTGCAAAATGATAATCATTCCTTACAATGACTGGCCTTGGCCAAAGCCTCTACTTATTACCGAAAGCAGAAAACAATGGGAGCTGAGTGGAAGGCAAATGACTCAGCCCTGTGCTAGGGAGCCGGGCTGTGCACAGCAAGGGGCTGGCTTAAGGATGCTGGGTGTGAGGTGTTTACAGGTGCAGCTCAGCCTTGGGGCAAATACTTACCATCTGCAATGTCGATGCCCGGGCTGGTGGATGCCACCTCCCCCGCCGTGCTAGTAATTGAGTCAGGGTTGTCTGAGGTGGGGCGGGTGCCCCCTTGGCACATGGGAGGTGAATATAGACTCTGGAGCAGCTCGGAAGAGCCCGATGTGCTGTCACAGGTTTCTGACTCTCCTGGTCCTGTATCCGTGTCCCCAGAGCCAGGATATGCTGGGGGGCTCTGGTCGTCCACAGGTATAGGGCATCCCTGGCCCACCGAGGCCAGATACCCGGGGCCTAAGGCACTCAAGCCACCACTCACAGCCTCATCATAGGACGGGAGCATGACGGGCACACCATCCACTACCACGAAGTCAGGGTCACTGCTGGAACTCCTGGGAGGCCCCCTGTGTGGAGGAAATGGTGTCAATAAGTCAGAAGGCTACTCCAATGCTCCCCACCAGAGCTGGGATGCTTGGGGCTCCCAATGGGTGCTAGAGACCAGCATGGATGGTGGTGCAGAAGAACCAGCCTAATTTCTGGGTCTGCTCTGGCAGACAGTGAAGCCCACCATGGCCATGCTTGAGAGGGAAGAGGCTTTGCTCTTGTCACTCTGGTATCCTTCTGCCTCAGTGCCCCTGTTGCCTCTGAGATCTACTACCTCCTGTACTTCTTTCCTCCCTAATTTGCCCTCTGGGTTTGGGCTATGAACTTGTGTGTGGAAGGGAAGGAACCATGTGACCCAATCTAGCAGAATATCCAAGGTGCCTCTGCTGTATCTCCCAGGATGGTTGTTGAAAGCAGAATGGCACCGTGAAACCTCCAGGGAATGGTGGACCCGAAGTGCCCCGTGGAAGATGACTAGTCTGTGCCTGATATGTTTTGTTTTGTTTTCTGGTCTAGTATAAAAACCACTCATTTTAGACAAGACAGAATAACAACAAAATGGAAAAGTCTGACTAGGAGCACGCTCTGACCTGACTTCCTCATTCAAGTTGTGTGGGTTCACAGGCCACCTCCTGACCCCTCCAGCATGGTAGCTTACGCACAGCCTGTGCTGCTGGCATGAGGGCTCCGGTGGTGGCTGGGAAGCCAATTTGTCACCTCACAGGCATGCTCATGTAGGGGCACTTGCATTGCTCCGGGCCTGGCCCCTGTGTATCTCATCACTCTGCATGGTCAGCACAGCTGGGCTCGCGCCCAGGTGGTGTCTGACACCAACCCCGGGCTCCATCGGACCACTGCACTCTGTTCCTGGCTCCAGAAGGAACCCAGAGTGGTAAGTGGCGGACAGAGCTTACTGATTCTGCTGAAAGCTAGAGCTCTGAGCTGCATTGAGTTCAGATAGTGACATGTCAGGAAGGAAAGGTGACCCATTTGGGCAGGAGGAGCCTGAATCCCCAAGTGCTAATGGCTCCAAATCCCAAAGATATGAAAGGTCTGGACATGGCACCTGAGGTAGAGGACAGTATCTGACTGCACTTTTCTCTAATGATTGAAGGATGGTCTGGAGTCCACTATGAGAAACATCTTGCAAAGGCCTAGGCTCATGGTGGTAAGCTCCTTGCTCTATAGTTCTTCAAGGCTACCCGGAGAGGGTGGAAGATTATCAAAGCCCATGCTCCCTAGAGGGTGGCAGGCAGGAGAGAAGGATATTTGGAATCTGATATTGCCTCTCTTAGAGCCGCTAGTTAGTGCATCCTGGACAAAGGACCTCCTCTTCTCACTTAGGTCTCCTCACTGTCCCTTTCACCTCCAGGTCATCCTGTCCAGGACAGGCCTCTCTGTATTCTCCATTTACCGCCCTAATGGCCTGTGCTCAGGCAGCGTCCCCCATGACCTGCTAAGCCCCAACCAGGCTGCTCAGCTGCCATATGCCCTATCATCAAACATCTCCACAGTGTCTGTATTCCTGGGACAGGGGGAACAATCTTCATTCTTGACTTGCCCTTGAGAATCTTACCATCCATTTGGACAGATGGAATCGAATTTTCCAAAACAAGAGAATAATACAAGACGGAAATACTCAAGGGATTTAGAACATCAAGTGAAAGAGTTTTGAGAACATTTTTGAAACATCTTAATATTTAGTCGATATCCTGGAAACTTCTTCCAAGCAGAAGTAGAAAAATAGCTTCTGCGGGCCATTTTAAAGTACTCTAATGTACTATAAATCACAGCCGTGTATTTAGCCTCCTCTTTGTGATCCTTCGGCCTTTCTGAGACACCGTAATTGCTCAGTGATAGAACATGGTTCCTGGATTAATAAATAATAATGATGCAGACTCAGAAGGGATGGCAGGTTTGAGAGGAAGGAAGTTTCTGGCACTTCAGGATGGGCTTGGTGATGGCACCAGGGTGGCACAGACACATCTTTTGGTATGGAGAGGGGTGCAGGTGACCCTAGACCTAGCACACTTTCATGGCTAGGGAAAGTGGCATGCCTATAAGACGTGACCTTGCGGGGCACCTGCTGCTAACTCACTGTTATGACTTGGATCCACTCCAAAAGCTCTTGTGTTGAGGACCAGTTGATAGCGCTACTGCAAGGTTGTGGAGACTTTAAGAAGTGGGACCTAGTGGTAGGAATCAGATATTGCACACGGGCCCTTGAAAGGGATCTTGGGACTTGAGCCTCTCTCCCGTGCCCTTCTCTCTGCTTTCTGGCTAATGTGACTTGCACAGCCTTGCTCCACTGTGTGCTCCCTGACGTGATGTTCTGCCTTGCCTCGGGCACACAGTGATAGGACCAGCCGACCACGAAATAAAATCTCTGAAACCCTGTGTCCAAATTAAATCTTTTCTCCTTCGAAGTTGTTTATCGCAGGCATTTCATCATGGTGACCACAAAGCTGACTAACACATCCTGACTTAGCACTGCTAAGGGAAGTGAGGTGTCCTGCCCTGGACGGGTGGGGCTAAGGGAAAGGGAGTGAATGTTGTCCCCAATAAGCTGCCCCTTTCCTCATAGGGAGTTGTGAGAGAGACACTGGGTTTTCCTGGAGGGGAGAGAAGGAGGTGGCTGGTTCCAGGAGCCTTCTCCTTCCCTAAGCAAGATTCCCCCTTTCAGGGGTGGTTTGCATGATCCTGGGAGCTAGATTGTTCTTAGTTGGAAAGTGCCCTGTTCTGAGGCATTAGGTCCTAAATTGTTATGGTAATTACAGGGGGTGAAGACACCAGGCTGAGCTTATTTGTGTAGCCAACAGGGGCAGTGGGTGGGGCACAGGGTCAGGGCATAGAGATACACCCTCCAAATATCCCATTCAGCAGGCTCAGATTAGACTCAGGGCAGAGGCTCACTAGCCCCTTCCTGATTGCCCATCATATCTGTTCTCCCTCCTGTGACTGCCCATTATACACACAACTGACCTCTGCTGGACACACACCTAGGACCTCTGTCCTCTGTCCATGTCTCATCCTCCAGGGCCACATGAAGGTGGGAGTGGCGCCCTGTGGGGCAGTGAGCACCAGGCAGCCCTCATTTGTTTCCCTTCTCTAGCCCTCACAATGCCCGCCCCGGAATGTTCTCCTGGGGGAAGGACAAATGAGGCCCATGGTGCTCTGGCCCCCAGATACCCCAAAACATTCCAGGAAGGTGTTTCTCTCTCTTCCCTGTTCCACCCAAGGACCTTGGCTTCACACTTGTCACATGCTCTCTCTGCTGCACTGACCTGGGGGGGAAGTGGGCCTTGAACTTGGTCTGGAACATCCTGGCCAAGATGACAAGCAGCAGCACCAGCAGCACACTGGTTGCCGTGAATGCCACGATCTTCCATGTGGTCAGGAGGGTCTCGTGGGTGCTGGGCCATGTTTGCTCTGCCGTGAGAGAACAGAACCATGCAATAGGTTTGTGCTGTGACAGGTGCCAAAGTCCCCGTAGGTTCCTTTGATGGATTCATCTGGCACATGAGACACCCAGAGAGTACCTATTGGCCCCTTGGGGCTCAACAGTGACACCATGCACCTGGCACAGTGCCTATCAATCACATTAGGATTCACACAACACTAAAACCCACCTTGCAGCACGGGCTCTGTGGGGTCGAAGACAGACTTTCCCTTTCAGATTCTATACCTGGCCTGAGAGCCTGGCATAGACCTAAATAATGGGCCTCCTTGTGCAGAGAGTGGCAGGGGTCCTCTTTCTGAAGGAGGTTGTTCTGAAATGGACCAAGGGCTGGGGGAGGGAGGAGTGGGACTATAGGCCTTGGTGATGTTCTGGGACATGTTATTAGCTGGGGTAAGGGGTGGTAGCATAAAGCCAAAAAAGGAGGATTAAGGGGACAGGCCTGTCCCAAAGCTCTCAGCCTCACTTTGTCCATCGAGTGCCTGAAAGTAAGATTCAATAAGAGCAGAACCTTCCAGAACAGAGCTTCAGCCTTTTGCCACAAGCTACCCCGTCCCCTGCCTCCTCCTCCTCCCTCCTCTCCTCATGCTCGGTGGCCGTCCTCTTATTCTGTGCACCTCTCCCCTTGCTGGTTCACGCGGACACCTGTGTGCCTCCAGATTCCCAGTATTAACAAAGCATGTCCCTCACGTGCTGTGTCCAGGGCGGCAGCATGCAGCCATCACTGTGGCTTGGAGCAGTGGCCATGGCCATGGTCTGGAAAATGCTGGAGACAGTGGGCAGGGCAGGGCAGGGCAGGGCAGGAGATTGGCATGCCGGTACCCAGGCCTCTGTTATGTGGTCACTACCTTGGTGGGCTGAGTGGTGAAGCTAGTTCTCAAGTAACTGGTCACTAAGTTAGGAAAGCACTGGAACGTGAAAATGACTTCCATTTGTGTAAGTGAGAAAAAGCCTTAGTGTCCATAGTATCGTTTGTATTCTCACATCCATTCATTAGTGGAAGAGGAAGGTGGATCACTGAGTCCCAGGGCAGGGTGCAGGATTCTGGTCACACCCCCAGGCCTGTATCCTTGCCTGTATCCTTGCCAAGGATGGGAGAAAACTGACCAGAGCCCGAGGTCCTTTCATGGATGCCAAGGGTCTAGGGACCCTGTCCAGAGGACCAGCATTTTAACCTGGGAATGGACAGGTTAGTACTCCTGACCCTCAGAACAGGGCCTGGAATCATCTGGCACAGGACAGCCCAGCCCCACATATCGGCAACACGTTTCCACAGCCTGTTCCTGATGCTGGCTGTGGGAGGGGAGCAGACACAAGCAGTCCCGGGAGGGCCTGCCACTCCTCCTCCGAGGACCCACCTGATTTGATGCAGTAGACTTGATAGGAAGGGAACCACTCTCCGTACTGGCAGGTGATGTACTTGTAGTCACTGGTGAGGCTGTAGCCAGGATCGCAGTAAAACTCCACCACGGTTCCATGGTTGTAGCGCTCACAAGGCCGCGGGTGGCAGATGAAATCTCCGTGACTCACCATTGGAGGTAGTGGACAAACTTGGGCAGTGGGGGAGAATAAGAGTTTCAGAACCAGAGGTCCACCCTGTCAGAAGCCCTTCAGACACACACTGGTCCAGGAGAGCATGCGGCTTAAAGATGTGCTTCTGCATTCATCACCAGGACACTGAGATGGGCCAGCACTGGCCCATTCTTTTGTATTTTCACATAAGGTCAAATGGAAGCCTGCTAGAATATTCTGAGCACATGCTGTTTTCACATGGTGTTGTAAAGCACACCGCAAAAGAGAGGCTCATTTTACAATGCAAAGAGTGTGCCTATTTAATAGATGGTATTAGCTACTCTATTAATAATGCATGCTATTATGTGCCAGACAGCCTAGTAAATAAAATTAAGATATTTGTGGACAAAATCTTTACCGAAAGGCACAGCTATGCCAAGTCTGCTTCTGCAACCACAGTAGTGATTTGGAACTGTTTGAAACACAGGGCTGTGGTCCTAACCGGATCCTCCAGTGTCATCTTGGGATCTGGCTGATGACAAACATGGAGCAATTTTTCTACCTCTGCTTGTGGATCCAGGCCACACACCCCCTTCCCATAATGGGGAATGAGACACCTTGTGTTCTAGGTTTGCTTCTGCCACCAACACACTGTGTGACTTTAAACAGTTCACTTAATCTCCAGAAGCCTTGATTGTTCTCCTCTGCAAAATAGAAGCTTATTCTGTGCTAGATGAAGTTTGAGGGTTTTCTGACTCTAATATACCATGAGATCAGGGGAAAAGAAAAGCTAGTTTTAGTTTCCTATCTCAAGATTACATTCTGGGCTGCAAGGAAAGAATGGCTCTATCTCTGGAACCAGAAAGACAGTTTTAGCAGTTTGGTCCTTATTCATCTCCTACTACAGAGAGCTCTCTTTCATGGAGAAGGACTAAGAAATAAATAGCATTCTTCAGGAAATAATAAAACCATGAATTCTACCAACGGCAGCCTAAACCCGACACCTGTGGAAACCTCTAAGAACTTAGAGCAAAAACAAAAACAAAAACAAAACAAAACAAAAAAACACACAAATCCAAAAGAGAGTTAACTTTTAAGCCCCTTGCTCGGGGCAACCAAATGCCCTAGACAGTGTAGATCCCTGGGTAGTGCCCATCACTTACTGGCTGATTTTGCAGGGAGAGCCACCAGCCCACATTGGCTTCCCTGTGAAGGGCACGGGGAAAAGCATATAGTAGGACTCACTGGCAGCACATGCCCACTGAGGCTGGGTGTCAAGATGGGACCCATCATGGAGGCATCCCAAGGCATATGGATGGATACAGGCTCACTCTCGCTTGCTCGCTCTCATTCTCCCCCTCTTTCCCTCCCTCCCTGTAAACAGTGCTGCACTGTAGACCTATTTTGTCTCTTTTAAATATGAGGAAACAAAAGCTCAAAGTAGCAACCAGAGGAGTGAGTGGGACACCAGGCTTGCTCTAGACAGGAATAGGTCTTAATTCTGGCTGAACTACTCTCTAGTCATGAGACACCAAGTCCTTTCTCATCTCTGAGCTTCAGGGTTCTGATCTATAAAACAAGAGTCCCTGGGGGCTGTTCTAAGGAATGCCGGCAAAGCCTTCATTCAGAACCAACTTATATGAATCTGTAGGGCCAGCCAAAACCCAAGTCTCTAAAGAGAGGGGACATCATGAGGTAGTGGCTTATATGGGTGATGGGAGAGAGGAGAAGCCAACAGGGGCACCCCAAGATCAGCAGCTGCAGGAGGCCACTGCCACCATTGGGTGGGTAGGATGAAGGGGTCTTCATTGCTGGGATCCTCAGTAGAAGTTGGAACCGCAGAGGTCTATTCTGCAGGAGCTGGAGCCAAGGACACTCAGACACTGCAGGAGATGTCCCAGGCAGAAACAGTAGAGGAGAAGACCTAGTTTTTCCACCTGCCACCCTCCGGCCTCCCCCTGGGCAGAGCTAGTGGGAAGCCAGGTGACCAGAGAGCCTAGGAAATGAGGTCTTCAGCGGGAACTCTGCCTGTAACATGGTGTCATGAAAGGAAGGCCCAGGGACAGACCTGAGGCCCACAGCCCAGGGTGTGCTCAATAAATGTTGGTTACCGGGTGGGTTGCTAGAAGGGCCCCACGGTAGCCCTGGTAGCCATGATTAGAAGCTCTGACTTTGAAGGCTGGGGAGCTTTTGCTGCCCCAGGGGTGTTCCCTGGGCTGGCAGGTGCCCTTTACCATGCTGTCCATGGCATGGAGTCACATCACCTCTGCATTTCCGTTCACACAAATGGGGGTTCTTTTCAGATTCAACATCTCCAGGGTGTTCTGGGAATATCCAAGGAGGTAAAGAAGGCAACAGTCGAGGAAGAGGGACAGAGAAAAAGGCACTTGCCATGGTGGCTGGTCTGAGAGGTCCAGGGGTGAGTCAGCGAGGGCTCCTCCCTGGCCACTGGCCCTCCTCTATGCCATTTTTCTTCCACTCAGTTCTTGTAAGAACACAGGGAAGGGTACCCCAGTGACCTCTAGGAATACAGGCTCATCTGGTTGCCTAAGGTCCCCAGCACAGCCGCAAGCTAGCGGAGTCCAGCTGTATGCTAGTGGAATGGGCATGGGTATACTAAGTATTCACCAACAGATGAATGGATTTAAAACAGAAAAGACACACACACACACCACACACACACACACATACACACACACACACACACACTATGGAGTATTATTTATCCTTGAAAAAGAAAGAAATCCAGCCATTTGTGACCACAGGGAGGACATTAAGCTTAATGAAAAAAGCCAGACACAGAAAGAAAAATACTGGATGATGCGTGGTCTTACCAATATGTAGAATCCAAAAAAGTTAAGTTCACAGAAACGGAATAGAGTGGTGGTTACCAGGCGTAGGGAGGTGGAGGAAGTGGGCAGATGTTGCTCAAAGGGCATATCTGTTTCGGTTAGGGAGGGTGAACAAATCTGGATCAAGGGACCATGGTTAGCAGTGCTGTGTTGTATCCTGGAAATTGGCTGACAGTAGATCTCAGGTGTTCTCACCACAGACATAAAGTGGTAACTGTGTGAGGAGGACAGGTAACTTGCTCGGCTACAGTCATCATTTTGCTATGTACACATACATCAAAACATCGTGTGCTACACCTTGATTATGCATGAATTCGATGAAAATTACAGCATCCAGAGCACTGAGGCTCTCCTCCTAGCAGGCTCTCCAAAAAGTCCCCAAGGGCCCTGGTAGGTTCAGAAAATTGCCAGAACTGTTTTCAAGGCCCAGAAAACCTCAGGAAAGAGGCCCTGTGAATATAGGCATGCTTGTTATCAGCAGCAATTTTTCTCACTTGGCCTCAAGGATACAGAACTGTTCAAACCATAACATCAACCCCAAGGCAAGCAGTCCCATGATGTGCTAAAGATTGCTGTACTGTACAATCCATCATTTAATGAGACAAAGGGAGGCTGGGCTGTGGAATTACCCAAATTTGTGTTCAAATCAGTGCTCTACCCTTGTGTTCGCAGCTTGTTTGACTTCCTAGGTCTTCACTTTCCCATCAGAGAAACGGTTCCCAACTCACTGGTCGTTGTGAGGATTAGAAGCCGTATATAAACCGTGGCTTAAACGTCAGGAACACCCCGGGGACGTGGTAAATAATAGCTAGTGGTTATCACTGGTGCCCAAACTTGCTGGAGTCTCCATGCCACCCTTCCCATGACTGCCACTGCCAGGCTTCCTATGCAGTTAGAATCCCTGGGTTATAACAGGGCAGCCCCGAACCTTTAGAGAACCTGGTTGCATCTAACTGCCATGTTTTCTTGGAGGCCGAGTAAAATCCATCCATTGCAGAGTCTTTCCTTCTGAGACTGTCATGATCCCTTGTAATGGAGATGCATTCACTTCTAAGTGGAAACATTTGTCTTCACACCTTGCACCTGGCAGACCATTAGCTTCTCTGTTAAAGGAAACCCCTGAGAGGTGCAATCAGGGCAGAGGGTGGGGAAGTGTTCTCTGACTTGGAAGGAAACAACAACAAAAGCACAATTAATTTATAAACTTGTTGAAACTTATTTAAAAATCCTGAGGGACTTCTATTTCCATCCAACACAGCCTCCCCTTGGAGCTAAACTGAGTTCTGGTACCCCATCCTCTCTGCCCCTTCTCTAAGAGGCAGACAATGCCACATGACGGAAGGCACACACAGAAGCCTCCAACACAGGGCACGGTGGCCTCATGGCCAGCATTTGAAATAACCCACATGTTCCTAGACTGCTGGTGAGTAAAAGCGCAAAGCTACCCCTGAGAATTCCCTTCCGATCATCCTGTGACTCAGATCCTATCGGCCACTAGTTCTAAGCAAGCCATACCTGCCAGAACCTGTGGGAGGCACGAACAAAAATTCTTCTGTAACTCTATTTTTAACATGTTTCTCACAGCTTTAGAGATTATTAGCAGCAGTTATTGCTTTTATGAGGTTTGCAGTCTAGACATTCTGTGGTTCCAGGCAGAGTCCAAGCGAGGCTCCGCTGCAGTTTGGCCAGAAATGGACAATAATTATTGTCCACCAGGTGTCAACTCTCTGCTCCTTGTTTGATGACAGAGGATTATAGCTCCTTTCAGAATAGCAGGAAAATGCCTCTCTATACCCACGATGGCAGAATACAGTTTTTACCATATTTAGT